TGAAAATAGAGAAGCAGCTGGAGGCAGAACTGGAGCCCCTGGAGTCAGGGACACAGTTTGATGGCAAATTTTTGGGTCCGTTTCGGAAAATGGTCTGGAACCTCATTGAGAACCCGTACTCTTCTGTCCCAGCCAAGATCATTGCTGTTATGTCGAGCTTCTTTGTGCTTATCTCCATTGTGGGCATGACACTGAGCACAGTGGAGGAGATGAAAAACAAGACAGGGAAAATGTGGATGGAGCAGATGGAGATGATCTGTGCCATCTTCTTCACCTCCGAATACCTCATGCGGCTCATATCCTCCTCCAGCTTCAAGAACTTTCTGCGGGCAGCGTTTAATGCTATAGACCTGGTGGCCATCCTGCCCTTCTACATCCAGATCCTCTTTGAAAATCTGGATGATGGAGACATGCAATACCACGAGGAGCTGCACAAGGTGGAGAATGTGAGCAAACTGGGCAAAGTCCTCAAGCTCATCAAGCTCATGAGGATCTTCCGCATCCTCAAGCTGGCACGTCACTCCACTGGCCTCCGGGCCTTCAGCTTCACCATGCGCCAGTGCTACCAGCAGGTTTGCTGCCTCCTCCTCTTCATTGCCATGGGGGTCTTCACCTTCTCTGCTCTCATACACTCGGTGGAACATGATGTCCCTGGCACTGACTTCACCAGTATCCCCTGCGCATGGTGGTGGGCAGCGGTAAGGTGTGAGCAGCTTCTTCCAGAGGGGGGTGGGGGAGGTTCCGTGGGTAGGGGCTACCCCAGTGCTCAGGGGATTCACCACTGCTGCTGGGCAGGAGGCAAAAAGTGCCCAGTCTTCTCACCAGCTCAGTAATGGTGGGAAACCAGAGCCCTGCATGCTCTGAAAAAAGTCAGAGGTTCAGATTAGCTCAGAAGCTCAAAAGCTGGTGCTGGAGTGGGATGGTGGGACAGAGGTTGTGGCTTGGGAATCTCCAGGCCTGAGTTGAACAAGGGAGATGTGACTCAGCTTTATCTGTCATGGGACCCAAGTGTTGAGTGGATGTAGCCTGTGGGTATGGGGACAGCTACCCTGGACAGCCTAAGGCCTGGGCAGCATTGCAGCCCTGCTGAGCTTGAGAAGCACAAGAGCTCGTGGGTCTGAGATGGGGAACCCAGGGCTGCGTTGGCACCCATAGTCACCCTGTGCCTCAGCCCATGTCATGAGAGTGGACATGGACTGTGGTATGCTGCCCCTTCACTGCCCTGCTTGTGCCAGGAGCCAGCAGCTCTGCAGAGCTAGGCACTATAATAAACCTGGCATTACCTCTGAGATGGGGAGCAGCTAAAGCACTCAAGAGCCACAGGTTATGAGGGCATTTTGATTTACAGATTAAATGATCCCACAAATCACTTCTGCTCTTATAATCCCCTTTGGCCACCAAAGCCTATCAGCTTCAAATTCATCCCTCCTTGAGGAAGGGCAAAATCACTCTGCAACATCACCAGGTTCAAGCATTTCAACATCCCAGGCTGAGCCTTTCCCTGGGAGCACAGCTCCCTGCCAAGCCCAAACCTCTCTGGTCTCGAATCTCACCATAGCCCTGCTCCCCATTTACTAAACATAGTTCATTCCCAGGCAATGACTCTGTTTCCCCTGGAGGGAGGCTCCGGGAAGCTTTGTTTATCTGGGGCCAGGCAGCTCACAGCCAGGAAGCTCTGGAGCCACAGCTCTGACGGGGAAGGAAGCTCCAGCAGACACTGGCTGCTGGGGAAGGCGCAGCTCAGGGGTGTCCAGCTGCCTTTGAAGAGACACACCCAAAAGCAGTGAGGGAGCAGGGTCAGGCCTCTGATCTGTGTTTCTGGGGCTCAGCCAGGCCTTTCCTTTGCCTCTCCAGGCCTGCCAGGCACAGCCTGGACAGTGGCACCCTGGCCATGCAGGTTCTGGAGAGGGGACAGCTCGGCTGGCTGCCGTCAGGTCAGGGTCTAGCACTGGTCACAGGGGACAGGTGGCTCCACAGAGGGGTGGGAGGGAGTGAATTCCAGCACCAGACAGTGGGGTCTGTTGGGCTTGTTCCCATGGGATTTTATCCTTTTCTGTCCCTGCACAGGTCAGCCTCTCCACTGTGGGCTATGGAGACACTGTGCCTGACACAATACTCGGCAGGATGGTGGCATTTGTCTGCATCTCCTTCGGCATCATCCTCAATGGAATGCCCATCTCCATCCTCTACAACAAATTTTCTGACTACTATGCCAAGCTGAAGGCCCATGAGATGAGCCAGTCACTTCAGCTTTCCAGGAGGATCCGCTTGAAAGAGCGAGTCCTGCGGAAGTTCTCAGAGTGCTGGGGAGCTGACCCCCGCTATTACCGCTGACCCCAGGCTCCACACCCCCAGACATCCCCTGTCCTGGCCATCCTCCCAGTAGGTCTTGTCCCCCAGGGACGCTCCAAGCTGCGGGTAGAGGCTCTGCTGTTGCACAGGGGCTGCTCCCAGCTGGGACCTCCCTCACTGCTGCATGCTGGGCAATGCTGTCTGCAGAATGGTCAGTCAGGGAGCAGTATGGCCAGGGCAGGATGTTTGTCTGCCATGGGCTGAGGCCAGGGGCACCCAGAATCACAGGGAGTGAGGGATGGGACTGAACTGTCCCCTGTGTGAGGCAGGTAGCCCAGTGTGACTCATGTGCAGGTGCTGCTCTGATTCCCACTGAGTGGGACACACACAGGCTCCCCCTGCCCCCGTGACTCCTTCCCAGCCAAGCAGCCCAGGCCTAGTCTAGTGTGGGGATTTGGGTGAAGCCCAGAGGAAAGGCTTACAGCCATGCATTCTTCCAGCCAAATCTGCTCTTCTTCCCACTGCCCTGCAGTTTGGGGCACAGTCCTGACTTGGGGTGCTGCTGTGATAGGACCCACCTGTACTATAGGCAATACAGAGCTTGTAGCCAGAGCACCCCCAGGAACAGGATTTAATAAAGCAGGCCCAAACCTCCATTGTCATGGATTCTTGTCCAGCTATTGTGTGTGGTTCAGTAAACTGCTCATCATTTTGGGGGGAGGAGGGGATATCCCCCCCAGAGCTCACAAGTCCATCGGTCTTCTCAGGGATGCAGATGAGCCTGTCCCTGCATTAGTTTTGGAATGAGGTGCCTGGGTGCATTGGAACTGGAGCTGGCACGTGCATATGATCAGGACACACCAGTTGGCTCTGCCCTGTATTCACATCATGGGAGGCAGTGGGGAGCATGTCTGGGGGGCACAGGGGAAGGATTTGCCCTCTGGTGTGGGACCATGTCCAGTGAAACAGCCTCCTGAAGGAAGGAGAGAGGAGAGAGGAGAGAGGAGAGAGGAGAGAGGAGAGAGGAGAGAGGAGAGAGGAACCTCAGGCTGCAGGGAGGGTTGGCATGGGGAAAGGCCAACAGCTGCTGTTGCTGCTTCCAGGTGAACAGGTGGAAGAAACAGATGCCAGCCAGGCCAAGGTGCAATTCACTCACTTGTGAGCTGGGCTTGGAGATGCAGAGGTACCAGGGGTCTCCTGGTATCAGCCTGGGACTGTGGCTAAGCTGCTGATTTTGGAAACTTGGAAAGAGACTTGGAGGAGCTGAGTGCTCTGGCAGGGACAGCCACACCCCCACTGAGAGCTGGACTGCAGGGGACAAGGAGGCTGTGCCACCAGGTGTGAGGGGACCCCTGCCCTGACCACCAACACCTATACCCATTCCCTGGTAACCCACGTTGACACCTACCCTCTGTACACCTCCCCAGCACTGACCTTACCCCACAGCATTGGACAGCTCTGGTTTCCACCCTATTTCTCTTCCGTGAGGAACGTTCTCTCTGGGTACAGCAGTTTCCTCTGACCATCTTCCCCCAGAGCTCTCCCACCTCACTGTCCTGGTTTCAGCTGCAATACAGTTCATTTTCTTCCCAGTGGCTGGTACAGGGCTGTATTTTAGATTCAGGGTGAGAATAATCTTGATCACACACTGATCTCTCAGCAGCCAATTGCTGCTAGGAGACAGGCTGGGCACAGATCAGTAGGTGCTGAGCAACTGGGTATTGGGCACCACTTGTCTGTCTTGGGGTTTATGATTCCCTCCTTTTGGTGTCTCCCTTTTCATTACAAATATTATTAAATATTACCGTATTTTATTTTATTTCTATTATTGGACTTTCCGTATCTCAACCTACATATTTTACCTTTTCTTCTGATTTTCCTCCCCATCCCACCAGGGTGGAGGGGGAGGGCAGTGGCTGCATGGTGTTTAGTTGCCATCTGGGGTTATAAACCACGACAGCCACCACCACCCACCCACCCCAGCATTATAATTTCCTGGCACCTCTATAGACACCCTCATCCCACCCCAGACCCTGTCACCACATTGCTCCAAGCACCCCCATCACCTGCTCATTTCCCTGCACCCCCAGTTGCAGACTGATGTGTCCTGAGATCATTCAGCTTTCAAGGAATGGGGCACATCAACCTCATCCCCTTGCCCCTGGAGACTGTGCTGCAGCTGAATCTTCATCCCTCCATGTGCATCCCCTTCCCTGCTTGCCCTGTTCCTGGAAGCAGTTCAGAGTCCACAGGCAGCCTTTGGAGAACGGCACTTTTAAATAGTTGTTCTGAATAATTTTACAAGTCACAGCAATGCAGGAATGTACAGACATTTACAGGACATTGTACAGGCAGCTTCTGTCATATATTAGTGCTCTTCTATATACATATAGTACAGCCTGCAGGAGCCTCTGCATGGGCAGAGACACCCATGACCCCACACAGGGCACCCCAAAATGGAGCTGCTGCCCTGGGGCTGCTGGTTTACACGGGCTCATTCAGGTTGGTTTAATCAGAGCTTGGCCCTGAGCCTTCCTTGGCTGGCCCTGTCAGGGGGTGACACCATCCTGGGCAGACCCAGAACCCCCTTGCTTTGCTCGTCCCGGTCTCTTTTAGAGGGTTTGTGGGACAGAGACCCCACTGATGCTCTGCAGGGAGCGGGTGCAGCCCCCACTGCAGTGGTGTTTCCAGCCCCTGCTCCTCCTGCCTCAGTGGCAGCCGCAACTCCCGGCCACCATGTCATCGTACTGCTTGAGGACCACATTCTCGTCATCATCGAAGTAGAGGAGGTTGATGGAATAGAGCTTGTCGGGCACGCAGCAGGGGCTGCTGACGCCCTCGCTCAGCTTCAGGGCGTTGATGATGGACTGCACTGTGGCGTGGTTTGTCGGCCGCATGTTCTCGCCCAGAGGGAAGGGGCAGGAGCCTTTGCAGTGGAAGGCGTTGTACCCCCGTGGTGAGATGATCCAGCCAGACCAGCCAATCTCCTCAAAGTCCACAGACAAGGGATGTCTCTGGCAGGGCTGGAGCCGGTCCAGCGAGCGTGTGCTGCGTGTCCTGCCCAGCTTGGGCACCAGCATCTTGGCAGGGAGATCGGGAGCCTGAGGCTTTAAATCTGTCAGAAAGAAGCATCTGATGTCAGTCAGAGGTCACTGTGTGAGCCTGGGCAGAGGGAGAAGATGCTGCAGCCCCCTCAGCCACCTCTCCCCACAGGTTTTGTCTGCAACTCTCTGCTCACAGCCTGTCACCAGCCCAGACAAAGCCACCAGGAGGTGACAGCCTCGGTCTCACGGCCGAACTCAAATCCAGCTTCACATCTGCAAGCAGGCAACAGCCCTGAGCAGGCTGGACCAGAAAGGAGAGAGCCTGTCCCACCAGCCAGGGAAGGAGATTTGGATTTGCGGAGCCCACATGTGGGGAGCACCTCCTGAGAAAGAGATGTTGGCACCGAGGGAGTTGTGCCAGGCGTGGGACCCACCTGGGAAGCCGGCTGTGGGCAGCGACGCTCCGCGGCGCCCATCGTCTGTGAAAAGGACCAACATGGGCTTCTTGCTCTCATGGTGACTCCGACCAGATGCAAACTGCAGTGGTGGGGGATCAAGTGGGCTCCCCCCCAGGCCCTGGACTGTCACCAACAAACCCTGGTTGCTGCTTTCATCTTCGGTCCAGTCACGAACCTGGGGAACCAAACCACTGTCAGCATGGACCAGGACAGGCACCAGTGTCCCCACAGGCAGGTCCCAGGCCAGCAGCAGGACATCGTGAACCAGGACCCCTTTGATGACACTCTGTGTGCCATGGGAAGGGATTGCTCTGGGGCTGCAGCACAGAGGGCACTGTGGCAGGAGCCAGCACCAGCACTTCCTGCAGAGCAGTGAGACAAGTTTGGGGAGGGATGAAATGGCCCCGGGGCTCTTGGCAGGACCTTTTTCCTCCCCCTCCCAGAGGATGTATCCCCCATGTCACTGCAGAGACTGCAGACAGGAAACTACACTAGGAGCCTGAAAGGTGAAAACAGAGGAAAAGTGACTCACAGCTGGCGTGATGGCAAAGACCTCCCAGCCCGAGGTTTGCAGTGAGACAAGCCGTGCTGCCAGCAGCTTCTTCCCTCCAGGGGTGTCTGGCTTGTCTTTCTCCAGCACCTGGTACACACTGACCTGGGGAAGGCAAAAGGTGGTCACCCCAGCATATTCTCCCTGAGGGGTTGACCCTGGACAAAGGTGTGGGGGTAGATGGGGAGTTGTCAGCATGGATCTGCAGCAACCTTGGTGTGCCTTTGCTGATGTTTGCACAAGCCAGAAGGATATTTAAGAACGTGCTACAGTTAAATCATCATGATTCTCTGTGAAATATTTGTTCATATTTGTCCTAGAGCCAGGCTGTGTTCCCACTGCAGGCAAATGACCACAGTGTGCCAGTGGCAGCCCTGGGCACAGGCCAGGGGACATCCCTGTCCCCATCCCGATTCCCATCCCTCTCCTCACCTGGCAGAAGTGGTGCCTTTTGGGCCCATCTGTGACCCTCGGCCAGAGGCGGAAGAGGTGCAGCTCTGCCGTCAGGATCTTCTCGTTCTTGGCCACGCTGGAGAGGACGAACAGGAACCGCATCTCCTCGCTGTGAGCTGGAGAGAAGCAAGTGCTGAGGAGAGCAAAACCAGGGGCGGCACGGTTCAGCCCCTCCCCACAGCCGCATCCCAGCACCACGGCCCCCCCCGCCCTTACTTTTATCCAGGAAACTGCGGACGGTGTTGCCCTCCAGGATGTCAGGGTTCTTGGTGACACCATCCGCATTGGCGACAGTGTTGAATAGATCCACCATGTACTGGGGTGGCTGCTTGAAGTGAGTTGGGGGGGCCGGCGGGTCTTCCATGCCGAAGACTTCCAGGAGTTTCTTCAGCGCCTCAGCCCGCCGGCTCGCCACGCTGGCTGGGCTCGGGCACGCCGTCCTGGCCAGGGCCAGCAGCAGCAGGACAGTCCCCAGCATGGCTCTGCGCTCGCTGTCCCTGCACAGCTCCGCCGGCCGCCCTGCTGCTGCATTTATAACTCACTGGAAAGGTGGACTGGAGCGAAATATGCACAGGAGCAATCAGGAGGGTAAAGAGAGTTAATTGCCGTGCTAACAAGGTGAGAAGCCCGGCTCCCGGGCCCCCCGCATCAATTAGCCGCAGTACACAAGCGGGAGGCAGGACGGCTCACCAGGCGCTCCTAGGGCTGGCAGGGAAACGGGGCTCTGGGGCCAGCAGCCCCTTGCCAGGCTCTTGCCTGGGCTGCATTTGCTCTCCATAGGAGACTAACTGGATTTTAATGATGGCACTAATGGGACAAATCGGAGGACCTTTGTGTGGAGGAATGCAGCCCATCAAGATGAGCATCCCGCAGTCGCTGCTGAGGATCGTGGCGGGGGCTCAGTGTCGCACTGGTGTCCCCATCCTTGTCCCTGTGCAGGGTGGGGTGCCCGGGTCCCCTCTCTCGGGGGGCAGCCCAGGCTGTGCGTCCCAGGGAGCCGAGGCCACGGGGCAGAGCAGGTTCCAGCAGAGGAGCCGGCGGTGCTGCAGCCCCGGGCTGCGGGAGCCAGTGCTTTTTTTTTTTTTTTTTTTTTTTTTTTTTTTTTTTTTTTTTTTTTTTTTTTTTTTTTTTAAGGCTATTGGCTTCCTGGGAATTAAAAGGTATTTACTGCTAATTCCTGAATGCTTGAATTTAATAAAATATCCGAGTAGTGAGAAAAAAGCCAATTCTTTAGGCCTTATTTCCCAATCCCAGAGAAACCAAGCTGGTCCAGGTGGGCAGGTCACACTGTACAGCTGCCATGGGAATGAACGGGAAAAAATTAGCATTAATTAAGTAATTCATCTACCGGCTGAAGCCCTGCTAGGACCACCTGATGGGAGACAAGGTGAAGGCTAATGTCTAGCGGTGCCCACAGTTTATTCCAACCCAAAGGGCTGTTAATTATGCAGAACAGGCACGGCAGCACCGACTGGCTGGAGTTAAGGGAGAGGGGAAACTATCTGTATTCCCGGGATGGTTTCCCTCCTCTTCCCAGCTCACCAGCAGCATGTCCCACAGGATATCTGGGGGTGCCTGCAGAGGAGACAGCTCTGCCCTGACATGCTCAGCTCGCGGTTCTCTCTCCTGTCTCCGGCTCCATAGTTTGCAACCGGGAGCAGCCAATTCGTGCACCCCCAGCCTGTGCCAGACGGCTGCATCCTCCTGGGATGCTGGATGCGGAGGGGCCGTGGAGCTGCACAGCGGAGCCCCAAGGACCTGCAAATTGCCCACGATGTTTATTTTACAAGCTGCAAAACATTTTGTAGAGGGCTCACTTTTACCTCCTGGTTAAGGAAGCTTTTATTAAAAAAAAAAAAAAAAAAAAAAAAAAAAAAAAAAAAAATAGCCTTCTCTCATTTACATATCCTACAGACAGTCTGGCGGGGTCTCCAGGAGCCCCACCGCAGGTCCCAGCCCCGCTGTCCCCGGCACTCCTGGATGGCAGCGACGGTGCGATCGATCCCGGCGGCTCTGGAACCGGTGCATGTCAGAGCCGCGAGGGGCACAGCGTCTCAGGGCACCTTCTGCCCAAACCAGGCATTCCTCTCTGTCTTCTAACTCCTGCAGTTAGAGAAAAACCAGTACAGCCCCAGTACACCACCGGCCCCCCACATCCTGGACCTTCTGCTCACGCTCAGGAAAAGGGTACAAGCCCTGGAGTAGGATGGGGGAGAAGGGAAGCAGCTTTTCCTACAGCATCTATTCCTTACTCCTGGAGTAACTCGTGAGCTGTAACCTCCCCCTGGATAAGCAGAACAGCTCTTTCTTCCTGCATGGTTTGATTTGCTTCCTTTTGCATGCAAAGAATCCCAGAATGGTTTAGGTTGGAAAGGACCTTAAAGCCCTTAAAGCCCATCTCATCTCCTGCCATGGACAGAGACACCTTCCACCATCCCAGGCTGCTCCAAGCCCTGCACAACCTGGCCTTAGGCCTGCCACGGATCCAGGGGCAGCCCCAGCTGCTCTGGGCACCCTGTGCCAGGGCCTGCCCACCCTGCCAGGGAACAATTCCTGCCCAATCTCCCATCCAGCCCTGCCCTCTGGCACTGGGAGCCATTCCCTGTGTCCTGTCCCTCCATCCTTGTCCCCAGTCCCTCTCCAGCTCTCCTGGAGCCCCTTCAGGCCCTGCCAGGGGCTCGGAGCTCTCCCTGGAGCTTCTCCTCTCCAGGGGAGCACCCCCAGCTCTCCCAGCCTGGCTCCATGGCAGAGGGGCTCCAGCCCTGGCAGCATCTCCGTGGCTCCTCTGGCTCCAGCTTGTCCATGTCCTTCCTGTGCTGGGGACTCATATTTTTATGTCTACAATCAACACATAGTCCTGCCCCTTCAGCCTGAAAACACTGCCTGGACTCACCCTGCCCCAGCAACTCCCTGCTCTTCCTGCCCCAGAGCTTTGCCAGCAGGTGAGGGACACGAGTGGCACATTCCAGGCTGCAATAGCCACTGTCAGGATCCGTGTCTGCTGTCCCGGGACACCACAGGCTCTGTAACCAGCCCAATGCAGCCCTGTCAGCTCCAGCTCTCCCCCAGGCACAGCACAGCCAGGAGGGTGAGCGGGGGGCGCTCCCCAAGCCCGGCTCCGTGTCCCCGCAGGCGGGAGCCGCGGATGCGCTGGGGAGAGGAGCGGGGGCGGCTCCCACAGGGGTGCGGATGTGCGGGAGGAGGGCGGACGGAGCCCGGCAGCTGTGCTTACCTAAGCAAGCAGGGATCCCCCGAGGAGCAGCTGCCCAAGCACCTTCCACATCGATTTCCTGCAAAGATTTGCAAAACAAAGGCACAAAAATCCCCTGCAGCACCTCAGCAGGGACACCCCAGGACCCTCCACCCTCCCTCCAGCTTCAGGCTCAGCATCCATCCCCAAAGAAGGGCAGCAGCAAGGCACAGCTGGCAAGAAGTATTTTGGAGGCATAGCAGTGGGTTTTGAGTCAGAGACCCCTGTGCACAAAAGTGTACTCAACTACACAGTAGGGTCTCTGTTAAACTGAAGACATACCTAACAACTAAATATTTTTAAAATAAATATCCTTGTTCCTTAATTACTTTTTAAAATAAATCCTCACTCCAAAGAAAAAGCCATTTATTCCTTTATGGCCCTGATACATACACAAATTAGTGGCAGCAAAATTCATTTTATAGCACAAGAGAATAGAAATGTGAGGTTTTTACCACTCTAGTTTGATGCTACTGTGAAGCTGCCAATGTTAGAGCGTCCACCCAGCAGCTCAAACCCTGCATGAGGGCTCAGCTGAGCCCATCAGAGAGGAGCCAAACCCCTGGAAATCCATCTTGACCTGTTTCTCCCTGTGCCCTGCAGATTTCCAGACAACTTCATAGTATTCCACCTGGGAGACACAATAGTATTTTTCCTTCATAACACAGAACTCCAGTGTCTGAACCACCTCCCCCCAATGTGAATTTTTGACCAGAGCAGTGCTGAACTTTGTGGGCACACAGAAAAGTCCATCTGCAAGGAAACAAGATGGAAAATGAACCTGGAGCTGCACCTGAGTTTCCTGCTGCAGCAGCACAGACCATCCAGCTGTAGGCACCCAGCACCCACTGGAAAAGTCTGTGCTTGTGTCAGAGTCCCAGTTGGGAGTTTGGGGCTCATTCCTTCACCAGCTCAGGGCCATAGTGGTAGGTTTTATTCCTCCATGCCAGTTTCAGACCATGAGGAAAGGGTGCAAGTGGTGACTGCTGTCCCTGACACTGTGAAAGCCCCAGTTTGGGGGAGCAAGCACAAACCACTCCACGTTATTGCTGAGAAAAACTCTATTTGAACACAAACTATTGATGGCAGCACTTCTCCCAGAGGCACACTCTCACACCAGGGATGGGGGAATGTGGTTTAGCATTAACTCCTTCAGCATTTCCCTCTGGATTTGCCAGGGATTGTGCCCTGAATGGGCTTCTCAGATGCTGGAGCCAGTGTTATGGGCTCTCCTGGAGAGACATTCCCCAGGCACCTCCATAGGTCTGCCCCAAATGGGTCCCCACAGGAGCACCGGTATGGCAGCTGCACTGTGGGGTGGGGAAGGGGAGGGGGGGGGAGGGAAGGGAAGGGAAGGGAAGGGAAGGGAAGGGAAGGGAAGGGAAGGGAAGGGAAGGGAAGGGCCTAGTTCTGGGGTGTGGGATGAAGGAAGGCTGGTACTAGAGGGTTGGAAGGGGGAGGTGGACAATGACCCCAGGTCTGAGGGTGGAGAATAAAATCCTGCTTTGCCTTTTCTTTCCCTATTCCAGCTTTAACTCAATGGAAAATTCCCAGGACACAAAGAAGTTCTGTCTGGATTTGACATTCCTTGTTTGGTTATAGAGAGCTGGGGGAGGACGGGGGGGAGGGGCTCTGGGTGGGCACATCAACAGCCACATCCCTGCTGCTGTGTCACCACCACATCAGGACATGCCACTGTGGCAGGTCCTGATGGCCCAGGTAGGGGCTTGGAAACTGGAGAGAAAGGACAAGGGTCCTCCAGCTGGAACCACATCTCCTTGGAAGGGCAGAGGCACAGACTGTCCTACGTGGCTCAGCCTGAGCTGATGTTCTGTGCAGAAAGAAACCACATTGTTTCTGTGCTAAATCTCCTGGCTTTTTGCCCCTCACCAAGTAAATTACACTTAAAAATCTGCATTGCATGAGCTAGAGGAGGGGGAGAAGGATGATTGAGCTGATGGCCAAGTATGTTTGGACTCTATCTAGGACCCAGTCCTGTCCTGCCCCAGCCCTTGGGTGTACATCCTTCGGGGTTTGTTTGGCTCCTGGCTTTGAACAGGTTTGGAGAGTTTCCTTCCCCCTCCCAACTACTTCAGCAGCTGCTGGAGAAGATTTCTTTGTTCCAGGATAGAGCTGTTTCCAGGGGAAGGAAAAGTGATTTCTGAAAGCAAATATCTCTGGGATGCCTTAAGAGTGGGACACAAAATGAGAACGGATTTCTAAACGTCAGTGATTCTGGGTGAGATTTTAACATCCTCCTCCAGCCCTGTCCCCATCTCCCC